AATTAAGCTTGAATTACCTGGTGGATCCATAGGATTTACTGCTGGATCCACATCCTATGAAATCCACATTATTCAGGCAGGTGGGAATGATGCTTTGGGCTGCTGCAGTGGATCCTGAGCTCAGGGCATTTGTGCCCCTTTAAAACAAACCTACAGAGCTTTTTTGGTCATTTTTGGTTGAATTTTGTGGACATTTTTGGTTGAATTTTTTGGTCATTTTTGGTTGAATTTTGTGGACATTTTTGGTTGAATTTTGTGGACATTTTTGGTTGAATTTTGTGCACCTGCTCCATTCTTCCTGCTGGAAGGTGTAAAATCCTCTGGGAAGCAGAGCTGTGTCCAGTTGCATCCATGACAAATCCTTTAAAAACCCAGGATACCGGTATTTAGACACCAGGGCAAATAATCCACTAGAATTTTTCCCTATCCGTGTGTTATTATTTTGTGTATCGTGGACAAAATGTTGGGAAGATGCTGAGCCGGAAGCAGCCAGGATCCAGTGCCTTCTTTTTGGCCACTGATGTTGAAAGTCAGACACATCCCTAATTCCTACCCTGTTTCAGAGTTCCTGGCTGTGATTCCTGAAGTTCCTGCTTTTCTGGGAAGGGGTGAATCCCAGGAATTTTGGTGTAAAGCTGAGGCTGGCACAGTAACCAAAGGTGTTTTCCAAATCTGTGCTTTGCCATCCTTTCTTAAGGACGTTGAGGCACCTTTCTCCATGTCCAGTCTGGTTTTTTTCCCAAATGGAAGGTGTTTAAAGTGTGTGTGGGAATTCTAAGGCCCCTGATGTGACACTTTTAAAATTTCAGTGTCCACTTCGTGTGGGAACCTCCCAGATATGTTTCAGTAGGGAGAGGGACTTGGGACAAGGGACAGGACACAGGGAATGGCTTCCCACTGCCAGAGGGTAGGGAGATGTGGGATATTGGGAAGGAATTCCTGGCTGGGAGGGTGGAGAGGGGCTGAGATGGAATTCCCAGAGAAGCTGTGGTTGCCTCTGGATCCCTGGAAGTGTCCAAGGCCAGCTTGGAGCACGCTGGCACAGCAGGAACTGTCCCTGCCATGTCAGGGGGTGGAACGAGGTGATTTCAAGGCCACTTATCCCCCATCCCATTCCATAATCCATGATTCCGTGCTGTCACTGACCTGTTTCCCACCCAGCCAAGGTTTTTGGGAACATTGGGACACCGGGAGCTCCCGTAGCCTCAGTGACACCTCCAGCACCCGCTCCCTCAGCCCGGGTGGAATCACATCTCTCCCTCCTCCCCGTGTGCTCCAGAGCTGCTGGAGGCACGGAGAGCAATCCCCCGGGATTCGTTCCACGAGGCTCCCGCAGCCTCTGGGGAGCCCAAACCCAGCCTCAGATCAATCGCTGCCTCCTCAGAGAGTTCAGAGGCTGTTCCAGTTCATCTTGCTGCCTGGAGATGCTTTTGGGGGATGAAAAATGTGCAGCTTTCTTCCCACCTTGTTTTTAATATCAGCTACAACTCTGGGAGCTCGAGTGTTGGATTTTCTCCAGGTTGGGAGGTGTTGGGAATTTTCGTCACGGAGCACGCACCGATCCGAAAGTCCAGAGTAGCTTTTTAATTGAGGAAAATCTTAAATATAAAGGAGATTGTGGGGTTTAAAACTCACTGGTTGGTTTGGCTTGTTTAGTATTGACGTTTTGCAAGAATTAAGGAATACCTAGGGGGAAAAGGAGCTTTGAAAATGGCTAAAAATGGAGTTAAGGCCCAGGTCCATGTGCTCAGGCCTTGGGATGCCAAGGGAAAAGTGCAAATGCCACCGGGGTCAAGATGTGGAGGGGGATCCCTAAAAAGCAAGTTGTGTCATAATCCAGCAACTTGGCTGGATGGAGCTCAAGGAGGTGTGGGGTGAGGCAGTCCTTAAAGCAGGAACCCTGTGGGATCCCATGGAATTACTTGGGAACGTGGTATTTTGAGGGTATTTGCAAAAAAATCCCCAAAACTCGTCCAAGTAATTCTGATACTCTTATTATTGTTATATATAAACAGGAAAGATGCTTTGTTATCCATAAATGGGATGTGCTGGGAAAAGGGGCTGGTTTGTGGCTATGCCAGGCTTGGGGCTGATTTTGCTGGATCTTGTGGCATTTCATCCCAAAAACGAATCCAAAGGCACAAGGAACAAGCTGTTCCTCTCCAGAGTGTTCCTGGGGTGCCCCAAACAGAGCCAGAGGTGCCTCATTTTGGGCTCAAACTGCCAGATCTCTGCATCCTGGGATGCCAGGATGCTCTGCTGGCTAATAAATGTGCTAACAAATGTTCTAATTAACAGAAATGCTGGTGGCAAACCCCAAACCCAGCCTTGGGCACAAAACCATTGGGGACCAGTGATAAAGCATCAGAACACATGGATTGGGGGTGGGATTTATGCCTTCCCTCTGGGAGCTGCTTCAGGTGGGTGCTGGAGGTGGGCAGGGCAGGAGGGAAGGTCGTACTCCTCGAGATTTCACTGTTTAATGTTATTTTTCTGCCTATGAGGCTGGGAAAGGTTAATCCTGCTTTCCCTGCTCGAGGCTGTGAAGGGCCTTGTGGCAATAAATGAGCCCGGATTAATTGGATACCGCGCCAAAAGGGTATTTTTTATTTAATGGAAGGTGTCAGAGTGGAGAGGGGAATGGGTTTGGGGCTGCTCTGGCTGCACAGGCAGGAGGAGGGAAGGCTGTTCCTTAGGAAGTAGGGCAGGGTGCTGGCTTAAAATAGCTCCGAGCGCTGGGCTGTGCTGAAGGAGCTATTTAGGTAAATCCTGGGGTCTCAGTGGGGGCAGAGCCGCCTGCTAATCTAAAGATACTCCTTGGAGATCTATATTTGTCCGGGATCCTTCCCAGCTTGGCCGGTTTTCCAGGTATTCCCTGCCCGATCCCGCCGGGGCCGGCGTTGGGCCGGCGGGCGTGTTTATGGGACGGGGATGGCTCGGATCCTAATGGAATCAGACATCATTAAGCAGCAGGAGTGAGGGAACAGGCTACGTAAAGGCATCAGCGTTATCCCATAATGCAGGACTTGGCTCCCGGAGGCTCCCGCAGGCTGGGATCGCCGTGCCAAAGGGACACGTTCCGGTGGCACCGGGGAGCCGCCTCAGGTGTGGAGTCCTGGAATGGTTTGGGTTGGAAAAGGAGCTTAAAGCTCAGCTCGTTCCACCTTCCACTATCCCAGGGTGCTGTAAGCCCTATCCAGCCTGGCCTTGGACACTTCCAGGGATGGGGAATCTGTAAATATCCTGGGAAAAGCCCTCCGGACAGCAAGTGTGGGGCAGAGGGAGTGATGGGTTGGGGCAGAGGATGGACCGTGGTTGCTCCTGTGTCAGAGGGTGCTCTAAAGAAAAAAAAAATCTCAGTGCAGATTTTGGGGATTTTCCTGGCAGTAGGAGGAATGTTGGGCTGTCCAGGCTGTTCTCCTGATTTTCCAGCCTCCAAAATAAAGCCTCACTGCTGCCTCTCACAGATGTGAGGGCATCAGGGCAGGGGTGGAACGAGGTGATCTTTAAGGTCCCTTCCAATCCAAACCATTTTGGGATTCTGTGCTCTCCCTGTTTCCACTGAGGAGCAGAGCTGGATGTGAGTGTGTGGAGCAATGGGAGCTCCTCTGACTGAGAGCCTCCCTGAGGAGCTATGGGGGGGTTGTTTCTCCAAAATTCTCCACCAGTCTTCCATCTGGGGGTTCCTTTGGCCATGGTGGGCCTGTAAAATAAGAGTTCAAAGCATTTTCCTTGCTCCAAGGTGGATCTGAGGGGTATTTCCCAGGATAAATTTCCCAAGTGGTTCAGCGTGAATTTCAGGAGAACAGGAAGAAGTGGTGTCAACCTAGATTGCTCCAGAAAATATTCCTTTTTATCAGCAGCTGAGCTTAGCAAGACATGGTTAAATGGCTTCTCAAACTGAATATTATCCCAAAGGTGATGTCTTGGAAAAACACCACGAGGATTTCCTGGAGGAAGAGTGACCAGGGCACAGAGGCTGGAATTGCTGCTTCAGCAGTAGCTGGAGGCTCCTCTCATCCTGCTCCATCCCTGACACGTGCAGGTCTGGGAGGCTGCTCTGGAAGCAGCGCTGGGACCGATTTTTCCCAGTTTTAGGGGGGGCTACTTTTTTTTTGCAAGAGAACTGCTCTGTCCGATGTCCAGGGTGGCCACTGGGAAGATTTGAATTCCTTTGTGGCTCCCTGTGGACCATCAGCACCTCGGTGTGGTCTGAGGTGATGTGTGGGTATTGATATTCCCAAACCTGAGAATAGGCACCTCACAAGGAATGTTTTATCCAGGTCCACTGAGGATCCCACTCAGGGTGAGGGTTTGAGGCCTGAGATGGGAAGAAAAGAAACCAAGGCCCTGATTGTGTGAAAATTCACCATTTTGTGCTCACATTCCCCATTTATCCATGCTGTGACCACCTTTGGCTGGATGCATCTATTGGCTGCTCCAATGGGGCAGCCAATATTTCTGGGAATATTCTGGAATATTTCTGGGGCTTGTTTTGTCCAGGATTCCCACGTGGATCAGCCCGTTCCCTGGAGCAAGATCTTGGAAGGACACAAAGTTGTGTTTGCTTAGAGCAGGTTTGAAATGGGATCCAGAAGCCCTCGGGAGTCGGCGGCAGGGTCGGGTTCACATTCCCGGGATTTGCCTTTTCCAGAAAGCCCCCGCTGTGTCTCCATTAATGATCTATTAGTGGCCATGCTGGAACCTTGGGAAACAGGTGGTGAATTTCCCTGCCTGCTGACATCTAGGAATCCCCTCCTGGCTCCTTTGGGGAGCTCACTTTATTTTTTTAAGTAGCTGCAGCTGTTTGCTCTAAACTTCCTCCTTTTCCTCCCCCTTTTCCTCCCCCTTTTCCTCCCCCTTTTCCTCCCCCTTTTCCTCCCCCTTTTCCTCCCCCTTTTCCTCCCCCTTTTCCTCCCCCTTTTCCTCCCCCTTTNTCCTCCCCCTTTTCCTCCCCCTTTTCCTCCCCCTTCCCCCTTTCTCCCTCTTCCTTTTCCTTCTCCTTTTTCCCTCAGGCTTTGCAGCGACTCCCTGCAATCCCACCAGCAAGAAGAAGACACCAGGTTTGTTGAGTGATGATTTTTCTGGGAATACCTTGATTTTTAACCTCTGGAAAGTTTGTAGAGCTGGAGGGTTTCAGAGAGAGGTTTTCCAGGTTGGAATTGCAGGTTTTTGGGCTCTCCTCAGTGAGCTGGCACTTGGTGATGTCCAGAGCCCACATCCCTGGCAGAGGACTGATTAGCTCAATGACAATCCCAGGAAAACTCTCATCAGTGCTGGTCATTAGTAGCCAAATCTGAGCTGGAAACTTGACGGACCTTGCAAGCAAATGTGGATTTTATCACTTCAGGGAGGCTGAGGACACTCTGGTGCCCACTGAGAGCATTTCTGAGGTCTCTGATCCACAGGGAGCTTTGGCAGGAGCAGGAGCAACACCACGGATCCAGGTCTGGGTTCAGCTTCATTCCGGGATCAGGGCAGGATCTGGGGTGTGAGGAGCCCTGGCTGCCACGCCAGGAAGGCTTTGGGAGCAGCTCTGCTGGCTGGGAGCTGGCGCCTGCTGTGGCTTAAGTCGCCTCTGTTCTAATTAAGTACTCCTGGGTTTTATCCTGCCTGGCTCCACTGGGAGCAGAGTTCCAGCTCCACCTCGTGGGACCATCACTGCCGCCTCTGGAATTGGCAGCCGTGGCAAAACCTTGGCCCTCAGCTCTGCTGGGGAATCCTCCTCAGCCAAGGCACCTCGGTTTGTCCTGGCCTCACTGTTCACTGGCCAAAATCCCAGCAGAACCAGGATAGTCACCTGCTATCCCAAATATTTTAGGGAGCCGTGAGCACAGTTCAGGGAGCCGTAAGGTTTCAGTGTGTATTTCTTCCCTGTGAGGGTGGTGAGGCACTGGAATGGTTTTCCCAGAAAATCTGTGCCTACCCCATCCCTGGAAGTGGTGAAGTCTGGGTTGGAACAACCTGGCCTAGTGGAACGTGTGGTGGAATCAGATCATCTTGATCGTCACCTTCCCACCCAAACCATTCTGGAATTCTGTGATATTTCCTTGGAAATTCATGGCTGGGCTTGGGTTTGTGTGGTTTTTTAGCCTCTTGGCTCTACATCCCGTGTTTCCGTGGGAGCCGTGAGCGCGGCCGGGGCTGCGCTCTGTTTGTGTTTGCATTTCCATACACAGAGCTGTCACCTGCTTTTTTTAGCCTTAAATGCACCTGGCTCCTGCTCAGCCCCGGGGCCTGCCAGCTTCTCCCAACGTGGCCTCAAATTTTGGGTGTTACTCCTGGAATGACTGGGAGGGAGCTGACGAGGCAGGGACATATTTGCTGCTGGGAACGGCTCCGTTGGTTGATCCCAGCTCTGTTTTGGGCTGACTGTGACTGTCCCCTTCGAAGAAATCATTCATTCAGCTCGTACAATGCAGATATTTTTAGGGTTATTGTGAGGAGATAATTCTGGTTGTCCTACAAAAAGGAATCTGTGGCTTCAGGTGAGGATCAGAGCCAGCTTTCCGAACCAGTAGCGCACTGGGAGGTCGGATTCAGCTCCGAGGAGTTCTGGATAAAACTGGGACGTTATAAACTCCATCCATTCAAAGGAGCTGTTATTCCAAAAGAATTCAGATAACCCAAATCTCATGGTCTTCCTGCAGAACTTCCAGGGCTGAGAAGCAGAACTCTGGAATTTTTTATTTCTCCTCTATTTGTGAGTCTCTGGAGCCTCTGAAATCTGGAGGTTCCTTACTCGGAGCAAAAAAAGGAAGATTGGAACATGTAAAAATTTGGGGGAAAACTGGTAATAATATATATTTTAATAAATGGCAATAATAATTTAATAATAATAATTCCTGGCTCTTGCTGCTTTTATACAAGAAGGTGTTTATTTGGTGATTCTTCTTTGATATTAATGTTTATTTTCATAAAGTTTTTCAGAATTTCAAAATTTTCAATGTTTTCTCAAGTGGGAGGTGATGGAAGCTCCACTTTATTTTTTTTCCCCAGAGTTTCTGCAGCTGGAACGAGCAGTTCTGTGCCATGGCAGGGTCAGACTGCCCGTGCCAGCCCTGGAAAAGGACACAGATTATTTGTCAGGGCTTGATCCAAGGAAAAGTCAGGATATCAAACACACACACACACACACACACACTCCTGGTTTTGCAGGTTTGCATATTAGGGAGAAAAAACCTCCCAGAAACCTTTTAGAGTTGTTTTTTTTTAAAAAAAAAAAAGCAAAAATATTTTGTGTTTAACGACCAGAAATTCATGTGGATTTAATAGTTTTGGGAAGGATAAAGATTATTCCGTGGAAAATGGGGTGGTTGCTGATAAATAGAGTGGTCACTGGGAGGTGGTGGAGTTCCCATCCCTGGAGGTTTCTGGGGAATGCCTGGATGTGGCGCTCAGTGCTCTGAGCTGGGGACAAGGTGGAGATTGGGCACAGATTGGAATCTATGACCTTGGAGCACTCCAAGCTGGATAATTCCAGGATTCTGGGATTCCAACATCACCCAGCTGCTGAGATCCAGCCTGTCCTTGTGCCAGTGACATTCATCCCCTGCCTCCAAGGGTTTGTTCTCCATTAATGACTCCGAAAGCTGAAAATCCACCTTTTTCCCAGCAAAAAAAAAGCCATTTCCACTGCCTTTCCATGCTGGATTTCTCCACATTATTCCCTCCGAGCTGGCTCCGTGTGAGGCCCAGACTCGGCTTTGAATAGATGAATGTAGGTTAGGTGTGAATGGGAATAAAATATTGGATAAAAATAACATTGGGCTATTTGGAAATTGAGAAAGAGGAAAAAAAAAACCTTCTCCCCTTCACAGGGGGTCTGGATGGCTCCTGGTAGAGTTTTCCTGGGAATGTTTCTACCTGTGACAGCCCACCCAGCTTCCTCAGTGTCCAAATCCTTGGTGTGGCCCCAAAATGTGCTTTTTTTTTTTTTTTTCTCCAAAGTGCATCTCTCACCATCTGCTCCAAGATAAGGAGCAAGCAAAGCAGGGGCTTCGTTTGGATTCACTCCCAGATGTGCATCAGGAGCTCCAGGCACACCTCTCTGGGGTTTGTTTTTGAGAATTTTGAATCCTGTAGGGTTATTTTGGGGGGATTGAGGGGACACCTTTTCCCTGCAGACCCTGGGAGCTGCGTTTGGCCAGCGCTGCTGCTCCAGGCACGGAGCTCTTGCTCCTTTTTCAGTCATGAATCCGCCTCAGCTGCTCCGTCCAGCCATCCAAGGGACTCTGGGATATATAAACAATCATTTGTGGATCACTTTGTTTTCCGTGGCACTGGCTCTGCCTGGAGGTGGGGATGGGGCAGCCCTGATGAAGCTGAATTTTCAGTGCATTTTAGGGACAGAGGTAGGGAGGAATGGGATTTTTTTGTTCCGGATTTTCAGCTGGCGCTGAGGGATGTGCGATGCTTGTGGTGGAAAAGCAGCTTTTTCCTAAATTCTTCCATCCTCAGCTATCCATTCTTAGAGTGTTGCAAATACCCCCTTGCTCGTGGCCTGGCAAATAAAATCCATGTTAATTTGGTGGGAAATGGAACCTTGCCCTGGAGTCCAGCAAAGAGATCCCTTTGACTTTCCTTTTAGTTTCCTTTTCATTTTCCCTTGGGCACACCTGACCTTTTAATCCATTTCACACCTGGAACTTCACTTGCTTTTGTGTCCTTTTGTTTGTGGGTTGGCCCTCAGCACGTGTCCCGTTGGTGGAGCAGGAATTGCCTATTCCTGGGAGCAGGTTTGGATGCCCTTGGTGGAATTATAAACCCCAGACCTGCAGATTTCACTGTTCAAACAAGACCGGGTGCAGCACTCGGGTTTGTGTGCGGAGGGAAGGTGGCACAGAGGTCACAGGGTTTAATTTTTGGAATGCTGTGAATGTTTTATCCATCATTTTCACAAATTATTTGGGAGCTGGCTCTGAGGATGAGCTTAACCTGCTGTGTCTGTACTGCCTGGGCATTCCAGGACCAACCGTGGAATTGTGACAGGAGCAACGGGTTTGAGCTGAAAGAGGGGAAATTTCGGGTGGATATACAGAAGGAATTCTTCCCTGTGAGGCTGGGGAGGGGCTGGGATGGAATTCCCAGAGAAGCTGTGGCTAACCCTGGATCCCTGAAGTGTTGGCTGGAGCTTGGAGCAACCTAGGATAGAGGAAGGTCCTTCCATCCCAAGCCATTCCACGACTCTGAGGGTTTTTTTGTGAGATAAGGAATTGCCTCCTCATTTTTCAGATAGGAGCAGGAACTGGCTGAGTCTCTCCACCCTTCTCAATGCCCTGGAGGTACAAAATTCCAGGTCAGTTTGCTCTGAGGGCTGTTCCCACTGTAGGAGAGCCCAGCCTGGCTGCAGGAGCATCCTCTTCCTCCTGTCCAGGAGAATTGAGCGTGGATAAGGATAAAATCAAGATCTTGAATTAAAGTGGCTGAATTAAGTGACTGAATCCCTGGCAGAGCCAAGGAGGAGCCGGTTCCTGGTCGTGCCCAGCTCCTTGTGGGAGTGGAGCTGTGCAAAGCCAAGGAGGGAACTTACATAAAAGTTCTTGGCTGGAGCCTCAGATTTGATCTTGCATAACTTTGCTCGCTGGGGCTACCAGGAAAAGGCAAAGCCAGGAGCTTCCCATGGATCTCTGGATGAGCAGTGCTGTCCTGGGGTCACATCCCATCTTTGCTGAGCTCTGCAACCCCATTTCTGGGGCTTTCCACTTCCTTAGGGTGGCTCCAGAGGTGTTGGCCGTGCTTGAGAGCATGCAGTGATGGGGAATGTGGAGATGAATGGTTTCTATATCTCTGATCTCTTTCCTGGAAATCATTTGCCCTCCAAGTGCTCCCTGGCTCCCTTTGGAGTCAGATGCCAGGACAACCACAGGGTTTGTAGTACTTACAAATCATTTTCCAGCCTCTCAGTGTCCCAAAAAACCCCTTGTTCCAAGTCCTGGACCCGCATTTCCACCCAGCTCCTTTTGCCCTCCCTCATCCCAGCTGATCCTGTTGGTGTCAGCCCCAAATCTTCCCTCATTTCCTCCCGCAGCACTGCCAACCTTACAGTGACCCAGAGGGGAAAAATCCTGCAAAATGCTTTTTTATCCATCTCCAGAGACTTTTTCTTTTTTTTTTTTTCCTTTTGGAGCAGAGCTGTGCTGTGGATGCAGTAAAAGCTCTGCTCCAGCCCATGTTGGTTTAAGCAGGTCTGGTTTAACCCTCTTTAATTGGCAGCTTGGTGGGGAAGGCTCTGGAGCGTTCCAGGCACGTGGGACACCAGAGCACAACTTCCAAAGGGATCGATGAAAGCGGGGCCACCTCGTTGCAGGCACCAGCTCCCCTTTCATTAGAGCCACTCCTGCAGTTCCTGTGATTTGAAAATTGATGTTCAGCTGTAAAGAATCTCTTGTGCCGCCTCTCTGCGTTTCCTCTTGGGGTTTTCAGGGTAAATTGCTGCTGGATTTGCATTTAAAAGGGAGCGGTGGCACTGCTGTTCTCACTGTGTTATTTGGCCAGCTCTATCCTGGAAAATTCAACATATTTTGGCATATCACAGGGTCCTTCAGGTTGGGAGAGAGCTCCAGGATCACCAAGTCCAAGCTGTTCTGATCCCCACCTTGTCACCAGCCCAGAGTGCTGAGTGCCGTGCCCAGGTGTTCCTTGGACATCCCCAGGGATGGGACTCCAAACCTCCTTGGGCAATCCCTTCCTTTATTTAACAGCCCTTTCCATGGGGAAATTCCTGCTGCTGTTCACCCTGAGCCTCCCTGGCCCAGCCTGAGGCTGTTCCCTCTCCTCCTGTCCCTGTTCCCTGGGATAAGATCCCAAATCCCCCCAGCTGTCCCCTCCTGTCAGGGAGTTGTGCAGAGCCAGAAATTCCTCCTGATCCCCCTTTTCTCCAGACTGAGCCCTTTCCCAGCTCCCTCAGCCTTTCCTGAGGCTCCAGCCCCTTCCCAGCTCCGTTCCCTGCCCTGGATTCACTGCAGCCCCTCAGTGAGGCTCCCAGAGCTGGACACAGCCCTCAAGGTGTGGCCTCACCAGAGCAGGGTCTTTGCAGGGTGATGGATCAGGACAGGGATTTGATTTGATTTGGTTTGATTTGATTTGCATCCCAGGTATTTTCCATCCCAGCTGGATTCCAGCTCAGTGTAAATCTGCCTTCCAGCACGACACGCTCCCAGGAGAAGTGGAATGATGGAAAGATGGTTCATTATCCAGTGGGTGGGCTCCTTGCTCTCAGAGGCTGTTGGAGGTGCTTGCTCAGACACAGACTGATCATTAAAATCCCCATGAAAAGCCCAGTATATTCCAGATTTTGGGATATTTTGGGGGATGCCTGGCAAGGGTGAGATGGTGTTTCCAGCTGCCCGCATCCCTACGGACAGCAGAGCTTCCAGCACTTTTTGGGGGAGGTTTGTGCCTTATCCCTGAGGCTGGGAGGGTGCTGCCAGCTGCCTGTGGGATCTGCACTGGGATGAGAGGCTTTTCTTGGAGCTCCGTGTGGAGCATCCCAAAACAAACGCCATCCCAGCATCTCCTCATCTCAGCTTGGCTGGAATCGTTCTGGTCCTGCCATGGCCAGGGGATGCTGACCCCAGAGGGTGAGGAAATCCTGGTTCTGCTGAATTTGAGAGGAAATGGACTCGGAGGATCTGGGAGGATCCCTGGGATAAGATTCCCATCACCCCATGGATTGCAGGAGCTGCTGGCAGCCAGGCCATGCACTTGGGGCTGTTGCACAGGATTTTATTCCCATTTCTTCCCAAACATCCAGGCCTCCTTCCTGGAATTAATTTTAATTCAAGACATTATACAGCCTTTAAATATTACACCAGGGTCATGTGTGCTCCCATCTTTTTTAAATTAGGCGGGCCTGGGAGAGGGGAGATGAGGAATTCAGATTTTTACTGAAAACTCTGGTTTTTGTTCTGTTTTTTTTACTTAATTTCTGCTAAAGGTCACCTTCTCCCACACCGTTCTAGTCTCTATCATGAAATAATGATGATGATGATAATAATAGTAATAATAATAATAATAATAATAATAATAATAGCAGGTTTTGATGGGCTATTTTTCTATCCAGAATTTAAAACTAAGGAACATGCTGCAAATAGCTGAGACTTTTAACTTGACCTTAAATACTGGATTCCATCTAGATTTGACAATTTCTAAGTTTGGGGTGAAGCTTTTTGAGGTATTGGGGCAGAGAAGGCCAAATTCAGCTATTTGAGGTTAAAGCTTTTTGAGGTGTTGGGGTGAAGAGAAGCAAATTCTGCTTTTTGGGGGTTTGTGGTTTCCTGATAAGGAAAAACCTTACATGTTGGTCCTCCTACCTGGCTCGCTGGTTCCTGGATTTCCTGGTTTGCTGATATTTCCATGGAATCTGTTCTAGGTTCCAACACCGACCGTCCCCTTGGGATTGGGATTGGGATTGGGAGGCAGCTCTAGGATAGGTGCAGGAGGCATTTAGGCCACACCAAGGGGGATTTTAACCAAGCTGAGGGATGCATCCAGCAGCTCTGGCAGCTCAGCTCTTTGCTCAATATTTGAGAGCATCGTTTCGGTGGAAATTCCATTTCTGGGTGTCAGCTCGAGGCTCGGAAGCAAAGCCTGTCATTCCCTCTCCCCGAAAAGCGCCGTGTTGCTGACTCCTTCCCTTCCCTTGCCTTTCCAGCTGTCCCATTCCCTCCCACGCAGCGGCTCACTCTGAAGGAGGTGTTTGAGGATGGGAAGCCGAGGCTCGACGTCCTCAAGAGCCACTTGGTGAAGGAAGGGCGGCTGGAGGAGGACGCGGCGCTGAAAATCATCAACGACGGCGCCGCCATCCTGAGGCATGAGAAGACCATGATCGAGGTGGAGGCTCCAATCACAGGTCAGAGCTCAGGCCTGGACTCCTGAATAACGACCAGGGTAACCCCAGCAGGTTTTTTTGCTGTGTTCCTTCCACCCACAAGGTTTTTTAACTCTCCTGAGCTCTCAGAAGAGAGGATTTTGCCGGCGCTCGCTCAGAGCGTGGCCGTGCTCTGTTCCTCGCTGCTGTCGTGACCTTGCTTTTCTTAGTGTGGTAATTCTGTCCCTCTTTTGTGCTATTCTTCCTCCCCCAGTGTGTGGTGACATCCACGGACAGTTCTTTGACCTGATGAAGCTGTTTGAAGTGGGAGGATCACCCAATAACACCCGCTACCTCTTCCTGGGGGACTACGTGGACAGAGGCTACTTCAGTATAGAGGTGACCAAGGGCTTGGGGGTGCTGGGGCTAAAGGAACCCAAAGTGTTGAACCTCAGTTAAAATACAGCTCAGAATCAGTAAAATACAGCTCAGAATTGGTTCAAATTCAGCTCAGAATCAGTAAAATACAGATCAGAATCAGTAAAATTCAACTCATAATCAGTTCAAATAAAACTCAGTAAAATACAGCCCAGAATCTGTTCAAATCCAGCTCAAAATCAATAAAATTCTGCTCAGAATCAATTAAGTGCAACTCAGAATCTGTTAAATAAAGCCCCAGATCAGTTTAATACCCCTCAGAATAATTAAAATGCAACTCAAAATCAATTAGATGCAGTTCAGAATGAAATAAATACAGCTGATAATCAGTAAAATACATCTCAAAATCAGTGAAATCCAACTCATAATCAGTTCAAATGTAGCTCAATAAAATACAGGTCAGAATCAGTAAAATGCAGCTCATAATCAGTTCAAATTCAATCCAAAATCAGTAAAATAAAGCTCAGAATCAGTTCAAATAAAGCGCAATAACATACAGCTCAGAACCAATTAAATCCAGCCCAAAAATCAGTAAAATACAGCTCAGAATGAGTTCAAATCCAGCTCAGAATCAGTCCAAACACCAAACCTCGTGCTGGATTTACCCTCCCATGGAGTTGTGCATGGAATGAAAGCAATGCTGGTAACTCACAGTGTGATTTTTGGGCAGGAAGGTGATGTCCCAGTCTTTGGATGCTCAGGCAGTGACAGTGGAGCAGCAGTGATGGGGTTAATGCCTGACTGGAGTGGTTTTAATGTCACTTGGAGCTGTCACTCAGGGACACAAGAGAGACAGTTGATGGTGCCTTGCAGGCAGCAGGATCCCACCAGGCAGTGGGAAGCAAATGTTGGGAAAGCTGCAGGATTCAGGATTGAGCAGGAAGAGCAAGGGCCACGTGCCTGAGTCGCTGCTTCCCTCTGAAAACCCTGGACCTCAGGAGAAAGGAACAGAAGTCACCTGGGCTATGACAGGGCTTTGCAACTCCCTGGGATTCCATGACCAAGAAATGGGAGTTGTTTTCTGATTCAGTGGATCCCCATGGCTGCTGCTGGCTCAGTGGAGACCTGGGATGGGACAGGAAGGGACAGCTCTTAGCAAATGCCACAAATCCCAAGGGATTGCAGCCATCTGGATCCACAGAGGCAGGGCTGAGTGGAAGTGGAGCGCTTATCCCAGTTGGAAGCAGCGTAAGGAAGGGCTTTTGGAGGAGCAGGGGCCTGAAATGTGTCAGAAATCAGCTGGAATAACAGAGGGAGTGATTTCTCTTGGAAAAAAAGAGGCTGCAGGAACAGCTGAGCCTCTGGCTCTGCAGAGGAATCTTTCTGGGTAGGAACTGTCAGGGATGAGTGCAAGGGGTTCTTTGAAGGATTCTGCAGAGGATTTAGGGAGAGCAGGGCCGACAGCTTGAGCTCCAGCAGCCCCTGGCTCCCTTCCAGCCCCATGCTCCGGAATCCTGACAGGGAGCCAAGGTGTGACGAGGAGCAGCTTCCAGGGGAGCTGGGACGGATGCAGCAGAGGTGGGGCTGGGGCCGGTGGGATTTGGGGTGGTGCTGGCAGGAGGAGCCCCCCGGGGAGGAAGGGGAAGGACACATCCCACTGCTCCTCTGGTTTGCTCGGCTGGGTTTGCAGTGGGAATGTATTCACCTGGAAAAGGGATTATATTCCAGAGCAGCAGCTCCTTCTGAGAGAAAAGGTGGATTTTTTTTTTGTGTTAACCCACGAACCTTCAAAAGAGAGGTGTTGGGCCCTGTGTCTGTGTATGGGTTGTGTAGATCCAGGGTGAAATAGTGCTGCTCCCACTCTCTGCTCTTAGCCCAGGATTGGTCTGACATGGAGATTTTACCCTCAGATCTCCATGCTGGGATCATCACAGAATCATGGAATGGTTTGGGTTGGAAAGGTTAAATCCCATCCTGTTCCACCTCCTGCCTTGGGCAGGACACCTTTCACTATCCCAGGGTGCTCCAATCCCCATCCACCCTGGCCTTGGACACTTCCAGGGATGAGGAAGTCTTTCCCAGCTTCTCTGGGCACCCTGTGCCAGGGCCACCCCACCCTCACAGGGAAGAAGTTCTTCCCAATATCCCATCTAAATCCCCTTTTAGTTGAAATCCATTCCCCCTAGTCTTCTCTGCCTGTGATAATATGGAAGAATTCCAAGAGGATGTATGGCCTTAGTGGTGGGGCAAAAAAAATGTTTTTTATTTCCTGCTCCTTTTATTTTTCCTCTCCTCCTTCCCTTCCCTTTCCCCCCATGTGGGAATGTCACGGATTCCTCCTGGAGAGTCCCTGTGATCCCACAGCTCAGGGTGGGCTTTGATGAGCACAGGCAGGGGCTGCTCCAAACATCAGGGTAAGGCAGAATCCAGAAGTTTTCATTCCTATGTGCCTCTCCCTTCCACCAGCACTATGCTGGAAGAGATTCCCACCTGGATACACAAAATCTGCTTTCTGTAGTGAAACAACAGCAGGTTTAGAGTATCCCAGATGGAAAAATATCCAGGTTTCCCCCGTGATGTGACCGCTGGGAAGGTGGGGAGCAGCAGCAGCAGCCTCGTGGGACACCACACAAAATTTGGCATCCATGGGGAGATGATCCAGTGCCTGCCCCAAGCAGCTGGGGGTGTCCTGAGCAGAGCCAGGCATTGGAATCCCCGTGGATTCCTTCCAGCTCAGGATATTCCACAATTCCATAAGCGTGACCTTTTAACGGAATAAAATAGGAGGGGATGGTTTAATTGCATCCTGCTGCAGGCAGGCAGGAAACGATGCCAGAGCAGGGGCCAAGGAGGTGGAAGGGCCAAATATCCCTTCCAGGTGTTCCCCGTGGCTCCAGGTATTTGGTTGTCCAGGTGAAAGGAGAAATTTGAATTTGTGGCTCAGACAAAACCTTTCAAACACCCCCAGCGCCCCTCAAGGCCTCTCAGTTCATCAGCTCAGCTGGATGTCGGCAACAAATCATTCAACAAATTCTTGCTGGGCCTCTGGCTTAGGGAAATTCTCATTTAAAAACATGAATTCCCAGTATAATGAGGCCACGGAGAGTGGATTGGTTGATGGTTTTGTTTTTTTTTAAAGAAAAGAATTGTGAGGGGAGAGGGGAGGGGAAGAAGCGTGTGAAAGCTGGAATGCTGCTGGAAGGGGACTCTGGGAAGGGTTTGCTGTCCCAAACCCGCTGTGACAGCGAGACTGGCTTGTCCCAGATCCCAGCCCCAGAGTGCAGGGCTGACAGGCAGCACGGAAATCGGGATGAACTCCTCCTTTGGGAGATGCTGATGAGGCAGGGCCCTGCTGAAGGATTCCCAGTGGGAAAAATGCTCCTTTCATTAAGCTTTTAGTCCCAAATCCCAGAAAGGCACAAGAGAGGTCTGTGATTGTGGTAGGGAAGGACCATCCCCAACCCATGAAGCTGGAATATAATGAATAGAATGATTTTGTTAAATTAGAAAGTGAAACAATTGTTATGACCAGGAACAGAACCCATGGAAAGAGGAAATTTATCAGGAAAAGTGGTGTGGTAATGGCATGCACCTTTCCCAGGCCAGTTCTTCCAATCCAATTATGATGGGACACATGATGGCTGTCTAATCATGGAATTATATGTTAATCTTGATTTAATTCACTTTTTATCCAGAGTAATATTAAAGAGATCCAGAGTAATATTAAAGAGATCCAGTCAGCCCTGTCAAGTGGGAGTGAAGGTGGATTTGTGAGCTGGATTTGGGAGTTTGGCCTCTGTTCCCACTCTGGCTGGCTCCATGTGTAAAACTTCCCTACAAATGCCAGATTTTGGGAATGGTGAGAGAGGTCATGGTGGGGGCAGGTTTGGCACCAGCCCCTTTTGCATTTTTGGGGTTGCAAGTCCCAATTCCTCTTGAAATTCCCTCCCTGTGTCCTGCTGAGCTTTCCCTTTCCAAGTGGAGCAAACTCTTGTCTTTGGGCTTCACAGCGAGAGGCAGAATAAGGAAAGAAGGAGATTATTTTAGATTATTTAAACCCAAAAAGCTGTGAATGCCTGGATTTGCACCTTGGCTATTGCAAACAGGCAGCAATCAATTCCTGGGCACAGTGCCGGGAAAGGCTGGGAAAAGGATCTGTGCAAAACACCAGGAAGCATCCAAGGCATGCAAGTGTAGAAACTCCCTCATTCCTCATTCCAGCCCCCCTGGAGCCCTCGAGGGCTCTTCAGTGTCCTCTACTCCATGTCCTCCTGGTACCTGGCAGTCCCCACATCCTTGGGAAGTGCCTCCAGCCACAGGGAATGGTCGCTCTCCATATCCCTGGCGTGTCCAGCTAGAATTGTGGTGCCAAATTCAACCCCATGTCGCTTTAAACCTCTTCAAACGTGTTTTAAAATCTCTCTTCTGCAAGCTGCCAACCTTCCATACATCCCAAGCCCTCCCCTATTGATGCTGTATCTCTGCCTTGCTTTGATGCCAGAGCTGGTTCTTCCTCCAAGTCATTTGTTTCATTTATAGCAACTTCCAAGTTCTCCTCCCAGCCCAGGAAAGTGACATTTCGCTTGCAAACACAGGGAGGTTAAAGCTTTAAACCCCAGAATAATTATAAATGGTTTTGTTGGGAACATTCCTCCTGGTAACAGATGCAATAAAACATGATTCTGCTACTGGCCTTGGCCCCGTTCTCTTTTGGAATTCCCAATTAATCAAGTTGTTAATGTGGGGTTGAATTCCAAGTGAGACACACGCGGTGCTTTACAGCTCCTCAGGGTTTTTGGGATCAGCTGGGATGATTCATGCAGGGCTTACCTTGCAGGTTCAGTGCTTAAACACCACCAGATCTAAGCTGGCTGTGCTGGGAACCAACTGGGAACCAACTGGGAACCGCTTCATTTGGGTTCTGGAGGTTGTTTCCAGCTGGTTCCCAGGGATCTGTGCCTCAGATCAGGAACGTTGGAGGGTGTAAAACAGACTTGGTGGTGCTTTCTGTTCCCCAGGCGTGTTCTGCAGCCTGCCAGCCTCCAGGGTAAGCTCCCATTAGAGACTTTAATCCAGATCCTGGAGCTTGCTGTCGTTATGGATTGTCCTTCCAGCCCTCCACAGCAATGAGTGAAATGTGATAACATTTCCCCGTGCGAGATAACGGCTCTGCCGCTGTCAGTGCCGAGCACACCGGGGTGACTGAGCCCTCCCAGCCCTTCCCTCAGGCTTTTTTTGGGAATCCAGCATGAAATATTTCTGTTAAAAAGCCCCTCTTCAGCCTGGCTTTGGTCTGTGCCTCATCAAAGGCGCCGGCTTTGCAGGTGTTGCTGCTCGCAGAGGGGATGTGGAAAGCCCTTTTCAAAGCCAGTGAGCTTTGCTAAGCTAAGCTTGTTTTTTAGGCTCAGCTTTTCCTGTTTTGAGCTTGAACTTCAAGTGACTATAGCGTAAGCAGAAAAAACAGGGTGGGGGAAAATCAGTGGGGAAGGTGAAGTTGAATTTTCCGTGTGTTTCGTGGACAAATGTCTGCCCGCTCCTCTCGCTGGTTTCCATCCCGGTGGAACATCTGGAACAAACAGCTGGTTCTGCTTTGCTGCTCTGCAAAAGGGGGTTTTTCCTTTGGTTTGTGCTGGAAGCAAAGCTGCCCCCACCCAGCCCCGAGCTGCTTTCTGTTGGCTACGACCTCATTTGTCACTTCTCCAAGTCAGCCCTAATATAGAGAAATCCCAGTGGCTTTTCCCCACTTGGCCAGGAGAAGATCCACTGCCCGTTATGGAGCTGGGTTCCACTTTGGGTGTCTTCCCAGAGCCTCTTAGTGCAGTCTCAGGCTGATGAGTGTCCTGGGAAAGGATTTTATGACATCCCTGCTTGCCTCTCTTGCAGTGCGTGCTGTATTTATGGAGTTTAAAGATAAATCATCCCAAAACGTTGTTCCTCCTTCGAGGGAACCACGAGTGCAGGCACCTCACAGAATACTTCACCTTCAAGCAGGAATGTAAGTATCAGAAGTGGGAGAAGGATTTGAATCCATTTAAATAATACATTTTAAAATGTATTTTTTAAAAAAAGGTGTTGTGAGAAGGCGTGGGCTTCAATTTTTGTACCTCTGAGTGGCATCAGAGCTGTAAAAACCTGTTGTCTTGTTTTCCTGCTCTTGTGCTTCAGCCCCTGCTATAAAAAAATACCCCAAAACCCAAATCTTTAAGTTCTGCCAAATGCCAAATGTGGCCTTCTGGTTTCAAAGACAGAGTGTGGATGAAAGAAATGGGAGCACTTCTCCCCTGATGAGCCAGGCACACACATCCTCCCCTCCCTGACTTCCAGGCCCAGCAACATGTAATCAGTGCCAAAAGACTTCCAGCTCCAGATTGTGCAGCTGGGATCAGAGATTGCAGTTGGGAACGGGGGAAGGATTTGCTCCTCCCTGTTTGCACTGGGGAGGATCATTTACCTTTCAGATCATTTTTGCAGTTAAAAGATGTGTTTGTGCACAGCATTTAAATATTTTTAAAGCAATGGTGAGGAAAGGTCAGGGAGTGATGGGTGAGTGTCATTCCAAGCAGTAAAAGAGGTGGAGAACTCAATGCAAAGCTCCTTTAGAGAATTCTTGCTCAAGGACCCGACCTCAAGAGGTAATTCTGGGCAAGGCAGGAATCCAGTCTTTATCCCATCAGCTCTGGGTGGTGTTGGATGGAGGAAGGCTCAGAGGGGGTGAGTCCCTGTTCTGTTTGCTCAAGGATGTGCTGGAAAACACCCCCCAGCTCTGTGCTGGATGCTGTGTCCATCACCTGGACACAGGTGAGCTTCTGGTGAGCTGGGCCCAGTCTGAACCAGGGGATAGGGTTGGGTTTTTCCCTTTGGAAAACAGGAGGTGCTGCTTTTCCCTGAGAACCCCTGTTAGTGTCTCTGAAAAAAGGATATTTCTGAGCATATTTGAGGCTTGGAGTAAGAACCAAACTGCTTTGGAAAGGCTGTGAGTAATGTATGGGAACATCCTCATCCCCTCTGCCCGGGTGAGGCATCACGGGGATCAGCATCCCTGAAAGATCCAGTGGGAAGGAAGATCCATTTCTGTGGGCAAATCCTCTCTCCCAGGACCTGTGTCCAGCTGGAAAGGCAATTCCCAGCCTCCATGGCTGTGTGGTGCTGCTGTGCCAAGTTCAACACTCAAGATGAGTCCAGAGGTGCAGCAGGGCTGTGAGGAAGTGATGGGGTGCCTTCATCTGCATCCCAAATTTATTCCATGATCCCAGTTTTCATTATGTGGAAACACCTCATCTCTTTAGTGCTGATCTCAGTGCAGGTGTTTTAGAAAACAACTTGAAGGGACATGAATATTGTCCAATTCCAGATTAAAAAAAAACTTTTCTTTTACACATCCAACAATTTTCCAAGTCAGTATTTTCAGTAATATACCGGTGCAGAGTTTGATTGTAAATCAGTATTTTCACAAATGCACAGGTGCAAAGTTTGATTCTAAATCAATATTTTCACAAATACACAGGTGCAGAATTTGATTCCAAATCAGTATTTTCACAAATGCACAGGTGCAGAGTTTGATTCCAAATCAGTATTTTCACTAATTCACAGGTGCAAAGTTGGATTCTAAATATTTTCACTAATGCACAGGTGCAAAGTTTGATTCTAAATCAATATTTTCACAAATACACAGGTGCAGAATTTGATTCCAAATCAGTATTTTCACTAATGCACAGGTGCAAAGTTTGATTCCTAATGCACAGGTGTAAAGTTGGATTGTAAATCGGTATTTTCACTAATGCACAGGTGCAAAGTTTGATTCTAAATCACATTTTCATGGTGCATGAATTTGATTCATGTGCAGAATTTCAGGTGCAGAATTTGATTCCAAGTCAGTATTTTCATTAATGCACAGGTGCAGAGTTTGATTTGTGGGCCATTTCGATTTTGAGCTTGCCTATCTCCTTTATGAACAGGGTTCCTAGAATTTATTGATCAGCACTTTAGCCGATCAGAGCTTGATTGAATTGCTCCCTCCCAGGTCGAATCAAGTACTCGGAGCGAGTGTACGACGCGTGCATGGATACCTTCGACTGTCTTCCTCTTGCTGCCCTCCTCAACCAGCAATTCCTGTGTGTCCACGGGGGCCTGTCTCCAGAAATCACGTGTCTAGATGACATTAGGAAAGTAAGTCAGCTCCATCAGCTTCTCCCTTCGCTCCCAGTTCCCTGTGGGGTTGGCTCCCACCGGGAGGATTTGGGGCTGGAAGGGTGGGAATCCTGCCACAGCTCCTCCTGATGTTGTGTCCCCTCTCCAGTTAGACAGGTTTAAGGAGCCTCCAGCCTTTGGTCCGATGTGTGACCTGCTGTGGTCGGATCCCTCGGAGGATTACGGCAACGAGAAAACCCTGGAGCATTTTGCCCACAACACTGTCCGAGGCTGCTCCTATTTCTACAGGTGAGGGGTGTTTTAGGGGGCTTTTCTCTCCCCTCACACTAAAATCACTGTTCAGGCCACTCTGTGGGGCTTTGTAGTCTATGTGAAATTCTCCTCATTTGGCACCAATGCACAAATTCTTGTTTGTTTTTTTTCTTCTGTAATATTGAGCTGTCTTTGAGTAAGTTGCTTTATAGAATTGGGGTCTCAAACAGCAGAGATGTTTCTTTTGGCTCTGTGAGTGGTTTTCACCACCTGAATCTCTAGGAAATAACCTTTCCTTGGTAAAAAAGAGGGATTTGTGCTGACAGTCCAGGGTTTACAGGGAGGGTTTAATTTGCAATTAATTTTTGAATGATAAAACATATTTTGGAGTGCTGGACAGAAGCTGGATGTTTTCTCAAGTGGCTGCTCCCTGAAACCAAGACCACCAGAGAACTGTGCTCTCCTTTGCTCCCTGCTGAGTTCTCCTCCCTTTTTTGTTTTCCAGTTATCCTGCAGTGTGTGAATTTTTGCAGAACAATAGTTTGTTATCCGTAATCCGAGCTCACGAAGCCCAGGATGCTGGGTAAGTGCTGCAGCCCAGGGGCTGGGCAGGGTTTGGGCTGGGCTGGGCCAGGTTTAACTCCTGTCCTGTTTTGTAGGTACCGAATGTACAGGAAGAGCCAGACCACGGGCTTTCCCTCATTAATCACAATCTTCTCTGCACCAAATTACTTAGATGTCTATAACAACAAGGGTAAGGCTAGGGCTCTGCTGCTCTTGGGGGGTTCAGGAAATCCCTCTCCCACTCTGCCCTCCCAAAATCACAGGATAATTTCAGTTGGAAAAGAGCTCCAAGGCCATTGAGTCCAACCTGTGCCTGATCCCCGCCTTGCCACTGAGTGTCACTTCCAGGCTTTCCTTGGACACCTCCAGGGATGGGGATCCAAACCTCCCTGGGCAGTTCCAAGGCCTGATCCCCCTTTCCATGGGGAAATTCCTGCTGCTGCCCACCCTGAGCTCCCCTGCCCAGCCTGAGGCCGTTCCCTCTCCTCCTGTCCCTGTTCCCTGGGATAAGATCCCAAATCCCCCTGGCTGTCCCCTCCTGGCAGGGAGTTGTGCAGAGACAGAAATTCCTCCTGATCCCCATTTTCTCCAGACTGAGCCCTTTCCCAGCTCCCTCAGCCTCTCCTGAGGCTCCAGCCCCTTCCCTGTATCCGTTCCAGCCCCTCCATGTCTCTGTGAGGGGACCCAAACTGGACACAGCCCTCGAAGTTCCTCCCCAGAGCCCAGCACAGAGGGACAGCCCCTGCCCTGCTCCAGCTGCCACCACACTGGTTTGATACAAAAAATACACTATTTTTGATACAAAACCCTCTCCTCCAGTCGCATTCTTGTGCCTGGAATGAAAGAGAGCTTTGTGTGCTGAGCTGAAGTGGTTGACTTAATGTGTTACTGTGGCAATTAACTGTGGAGTCATAGAGCCTGGAATAAAGCTTTCATTCCCAGCCACGGGACAACGGAGCCCTTTTGATGGATGCTGCCATCCCACAGAAGCTGATAGTGTAGGAAAGCTTTCCACTTCCCTCTGCCCATAAACCATGGGGGGATCATGGTGGAATTTTCTCCAGCTGTGGGGTTTTTCACCCCTCACTTTGGATCTTGGCTGTGTTTGGGCTTCACTGTTCTAAGCTGAGGACCAACCTGAGTAAACAAAAAAATTATGGCTTAAACCTTCTCATTTTGGAGAATTGGTAGCTTGATTCTACACGAGTGTAACCAGGTGTTGATAATGAAGGCTTTTTAACACTGGTAAAACTTCCAGAGGGAGCCAGGCTGGGAGAGCTGGGGGTGAAAGAGGAAAAGGCTCCAGGGAGACTTTAAGAGCCCCTGCCAGAGCCTAGAGGGGCTCCAGGAGAGCTGGAGAAGGACTTTGGACAATGGATGGAGGGACAGGACACAAAGAATGACTTCCCACTGCCAGAGGGCATGGATGGATGGGATATTGGGAAGGAATTCCTGGCTGGGAGGGTGGGAAAGAGCTGGGATGGAATTCCCAGAGAAGCTGTGGCTGCCCTGGATCCCTGGAAGTGCCCAAGGCCGGGTTGGACTGGGCATGGAGCAACCTGGGATAGTGGGAGCTGTCCCTGCCCATGGCAGGAATGGTACTGGCTGATCCTTAAGATCCCTTCAAATCCAGCCCATTCCAGGATTCTCCAAGTGGAAAGTGCCTATGGACATTTATTCTCTTCCCCTTTTCTCCCCCAGCTGCTGTACTGAAATACGAAAACAACGTCATGAACATCAGGCAGTTCAACTGTTCCCCTCACCCCTACTGGCTTCCAAACTTCATGGATGTCTTCACATGGTCTTTGCCTTTCGTAGGGGAAAAGGGTAAGAGAGATTTGGGTTTCTGTTCCAAATTCCCAGTGACTGCTCCTCATATCCTGAGTGTCACAAACCAGCTGCAGGCAGCACAGGAGAGCAGCTCAGGCTCAAGGAGATATGCATTACTGGGTTCAATTCTTGCATAAACAGCTGTTGATACTTGTTTGATGAAGCTTTTGCCAATAAAACCCTCCTTTCTTGCTCTTTCTGCATTGCTGGTGGAGCTGGTATTGGGTGCTGTAGTCTCACCTCAGAATTTGGAGACGTTTCTCTTGGTTTGCAACAGAGGAATTTTAAATTCCTGTTGGCTCCTGGCCCACCAGAAAGGAAGCATTCACTTCAATCCAAGACTTAATTCGTTCTGAAGAAGGCGAGGCAGCTTAAAATATGACCAAGACTGCCTCAGCTTTTCACCGAAAGGATTTTTATCTCTCCTGATGAGTTTAAATTCCACCCCAGTCTCGTATGTTCAGAGTGTGGCTTCACCCTCATGACTTCCAAAGGGTTTTTCTGACTTTGAGGCACCAAAGGTCGAATCCCCCCTCCCTAAATTTGGCCCTTCTGGGAGCCAGGTGGCTGTGGCGTGGGTGGGGATGGGGAGGGGGGACCTTGAGGGAGCTCAGGCTGTTCTGCAGGAATGTTGGCACCTCCTTCCCCACGTCTGGTTCCTCTGGGATGTGCTTGGCCTGCATCCACCTCCTTGGCAGAAGATGCAACGTGTGTCGTCTGCTCCGGCGCCGCTGCGGGTACCAGCAGGCTGTGCCTAAAAGTGTCTTTAGGCTCCCACTTGCAGGGGACAGACGACCTTGAAATCCTCCCCTCGTCCTCCAAACCCCCTCTGCATGCCCCAGGCCCCTCTGACCTCGCTGTCTGTGCCTCTTGCAGTCACCGAGATGCTCGTGAACATCCTCAACATCTGCTCCGACGACGAGCTGATTTCGGATGGCGACGAGACGTTGGAAGGTAAAATATCCCTGCTGGTACCTGAGAGCAGCGGGGGGAAAGGCTGGGGAAGGTCTTTGATGCCTGAGCAGCACTTGATTTATAGCTGGATGCCCAGCCAGGGTCTCCAGTTCCTTTTTGCCCAACCTTTGCAGTTTTGGGTAGGGAATGTTGTTTTTTGGTTTTTTTTTTCTCTTTTACTGTTCAGTCACAGAGAAATTAAATGACATTCACTGTGACAGACACTTCTTGCCAGCTACTCTGGGAATGGTTTCCTGCTCCTTACACAGGCTGCTGGTTATTTTTTCCCCCAATTCAAGATTTTCTGCACCAAAATATCCACCCAATCTTCTCATCTGTTGCAGTGAACTCCTCTGTAAAGTGGCTTCTCATGTCACACCCCCTCCCCAAAAACGCTGTTTCTGACCCTGGTTTTAAGCCATGCATGAAGGGGACAAATCAGTGGCTGAGCTGATGAGCATTTTGGATTTTGGGGGAACTCAGAAGTGAGGTGGTGACCTGAGGAAGCTGAGGGGGGCAGCGAGAAGTGGGGCCTGAGCTGCTTCGGCCCCAGGTGGAGACTCTAACCCGCTTCTCCCATTGCATTTCCGTTTCGTTTTTTGGTTTTTTTGTTTTTTTCTTTCCTCCCTCCCATGAAAATTAAATTTGTTTCTTCTATCTCTGTCTTCATCTACTTGTTTCTTGGTGTCTCCTCTCCCTGAAGATCACTACATTTCAAGCTATCCGAAAGGTACCCAGCTAGAATTTGCTACGAGCTTAATTATCACTGCCTGTGCCACCAGATCCTTGAAGTGGATTTCCAGAGCTGACTAGTGGGGCAGTCTCTTCATCCCCTTTCAGTTTTAACATAAGCTCCATGTGTTTTTTAACCCTTCTGCGTTCCTCCAGGAACTTTGAGAAACGGGGGTCACGTTTCTACCTGATTCTGAATGCAGCCACGTAGTGCATGGCTGAGCCATGGTGCATGTTAGCCCTGGGTTTGGCTTCCCTGTCCTGATGTGTACTGGGCCATGTGAGGAATCTCAGCTGAGAGGAGATGGATTTGTTCCCTCTTTTGACCTGAATTTTCCGTTTGGTTTCAGCTCCCTCCGTGCTTTTTTTTGTTTGTTTCTCTCTCCCGTTGGGTCCATAGAGCGGAAGGGGAGTTCCCCCCTGTCCCGTTGTGTCCGTGTGGGGTCAGAGCAGAGCTGCCAGGCTCGGGCCAGCCCTTCCCTGTGCTCCTTGGATGCCAGAGCTGATGCTTGCGTGCCACTGCGGGCGAGCACAGCGGTGCCCATCAGCCGTCAGATCCCTCCGTGCTCTGCCTTGCAAACTGTGTCCTCATGGCTGAGTCATTTGTGTCACATCCTGTGTAGTGTGAGCCCAGCTGGCGAGCTGCCAGCGAGACCTCCCCGAATCCGTGTCCTGTGGTGGTTCTACTCTCTTTAGCCCTCTCGAGTTCCGTGTGCCATCTCGTTGGTGTTGCCCTCCTCACCGCCATCCTGGTGCCATCCTGATGCCATCCTGATGCCATCCTTCCAGCACCGTTCTCTCTCCGGTGTAGCTGTGAATCTGTAAAAAAACATGATTTCTTTTCCTGGAGTCAGGCAGGTGCTTCATCCTGACATTCCCTGGAGAGCAGGAAACCTCCAACGTGCTGCTGTTTCCTCTTTTCTCTCCCTAAGGTGGGACAACGGTGCGCAAGGAGATCATCAGGAATAAGATCAGAGCCATTGGGAAGATGGCACGGGTCTTCTCGGTTCTTCGGTGAGGATGGGCTGGGGACTGGGCTTAATTCAGGGACTGGGCTTAATTTGGGAACTGGATTTAATTTAGGGACTGGATTTAATTTGGGAAACAGGAAAAGAAGGGGAAAACTTCATAAGACAGGTGGTTTTTCCTGACTCTTTCAGGACACATTTGCCTGAAAGAAAGTTGTTGCCAGGTAGGGGTTGGTCTTTTCTCCCAAATAACAAGTGACAGATGGGAGGAAACAGCCACAAGCTGCACTGGGGGTGTTTCAGGTTGGATATTTGAGAAAATTTCTGCATGGAAAGGGCTGCAAAATACTGGAATGGGCTGTCCAGGGCTGTGGTGGAGTCCCGGTCCCTGAGGGGTTTAACAGATGTGTGAATGTGGCACTTGGGGACGTGGGTAGTGGTGAACAGGGTGGTGGTGCTGGGTTGATGGTTGGGCTTGGTGACCTTAGAAGTCTTTTCCAGCCTTAATGATCCCGTGATCCATGATTCCCACAATCCATGACTCCCACAACACCCACCAGCCTTGCCTGGAGCAGTACAACCATTGCTCAGTGTGTAACTGGTGCTGCTGTTCCCTGCAGGGAGGAGAGCGAGAGCGTGCTGACCCTCAAAGGCCTGACCCCCACAGGTACCCTGCCCCTGGGAGTGCTCTCGGGGGGGAGGCAGACCCTGCAGACCGGTGAGTATCCCTGACCCCCTGCACTCCCCTGCCCCAAACCCCCCAGAGCAGCTCCCACAGGCAGCCTGGAGGGTGCCAGGGGACCCCAGCCAGGGTTCAGGCCTGTGGGGAGGAAAGATTCCCAAGCAGGAGGAAGCAGAGGTGTAGGTGGGGATGTGGAGAGATGCCAAGATGTCCCCGTGTACCCTCGAGGAAGAAAACCCACAGCACCCTGCTTAAAGCATGTTTAGTGCTTAATTGTTTGTTTCTGCAACGAGTTTTTATCCTTTATTTCCCTTCTAACGCTGCATGGTGCACATCCTCTGCCTCACCTCGCTGTGCTGCTGCTGTGTGACAGCCTCTGTGTGAATGTGACAGTGACACGGCCTCTGTGTGAATGTGACAGTGACACAGCTGCTTGTTTGTTCTTCGTTCAACCAAACCCCTCCCAGTCTGCCCCTGCCAAGTCAAGAATCCCAAACAAGAGGAAGGTTTGGCCAAAGGAACGAGGTTCCTCCAGGGCTGGATGGTTCTGAAAAGTCTCCTCTCAGGTTTTGAGGTAGTTCTGGAGGTTTCTTCCCAAATTTGCTGCCTCCCTCAGCAGCTCTGGGAGCAGGACGGAGCGAAGGATCCGATCCTTCCCGCTCACAGGGCAGGGAGGTTGGCTGGTGCTCAGGGAATGAGCTATCCCAGAGGGAATCCTGTAATCCAGTGTTTTAATCCTTCCCTGCCATTGGCCTTTGAAGCCTGGCAGCTCCCCACCTTCCCCCTTCCCATGGGCACCGGGGATTTCCTGCAGCTCTCCCCAGGCTGGGGCTGGGGTTTGCCTGGATTAAACAGTTCACGAGTCAGAAACATGGAAATACCACTGCCTGCTCCCAGGGAGGATGCAGCATCACTCCCAAGCTCATGGATTTCTCTGCCCACAGAGGAGGATAGATATTTTTTCCCTTTTTATATAGAAACCATCACAGCCCCGTCACCCCAGTTCTGGGAACAGAGCCTGAGTGGGAAGGTGGCTGTTGCAGCAGCTCTGTCCCTGTGTCCTGACAGCACAGGGTCATGCTGTGACGTTCTCCAGCACCTTCCCCTCTCAGGGGGTTCTCTGAGGGGTACCAGGGGTCTCCCCTCCCCCAAAATGAGCCTCTCCCCAGGACAGAACAAACAAGCTGGGCCTTTGCTGCTGCCTTACCTGCCCCACCCGCCGCCTGCAGGCTCCCCCCGCTCCCCTCGGCACCTCCTGGCTTCTCCCGCCCTCCTCATCCCCCTTCCCCTGTCCTTCCCCCTTCTCCCACCCTCCTTTCCCTTTCCTGACCCCTTCTCCCACCCCCCTTTTCCCTGTCCTGACCCCTTCTCCCTCCCTCTCTTCCCCATCCTCCCACCCTTTCCCATTTCACACATCCCTTCACACTCCTGGTGAATTTATGGGAGCCCCGTCTGCTGGGTGAGGAGGAGAGGTGGCTGCCCCCCTTTTAGGGTGCCTGTGCACCCCAAAAAAGGGAAACAGGGCTGCAGTGGGGGGGCCCTGCCCTCCTGAGCCTCTCCCCAGCCTTTCGCAGCAGGGCTTGGCAAAATCAACCGAATAAAGTCACGGAATCTGGGGCAGAGCTGTGCAGCCACAGCTCCATCCTTCCTCCATGGCCTCCCGAGGACCACGTGGCCTCTGTATTGTGTCCAAAGCAAAAAAGCTGCTGTTTTGAGGCTAAAATCCAGGGAATCTGCTCAAGGGAAGGGCCTCCTCCCAGATGCTGAGGCAGGGCCTAGCAAACCTTGGACGTTGCTGCAGCAGATTTAGGAAGGGGGACATTGCTCAGCTCTGTGGTGCCTTGTTGCTTGGTAACACTTTCAGAAGGTGGAGCTGAAGCCAAGCTGGATTTGGAGCCTGATTTTCTGTTACAGCTCAAGGCGCCGGGAGCGGAGCAGCCCAGTACCTGCTGCTTATCCTTCCCTGGAAAACAGGCTGCCCCTCACCTTCCCACTGCTCCAAAACATCCCCTGGGATCCCTTCCCTCATGCAGCTGTGCTGGTGGAGGGTGAATTCCACATAACTGATCATGTGAAGGTGGCCTGGAGCCACCCAGCTGGGAGCAGAGCCGCAGCTTAGTCCGAGGTTGTCCCTGTGCAGTGCGTGCAGCAGGGAGCCCTCGCTCTCTGCTCCTCTGTTCTTCCATCAGATCAACCCAGAGGAAAGGAGACTCCCCCTGAGCCCTCGGGAGTCCCTTTCCCCCCTTCCTCTCCACCTCCTGTCACCTCTTTCTCCCCTCTCGCCACTCGTTTGGCACCACCGGGGCTGGGGGGCCGTGGGCTCTGCGTCGCAGCCATGATGTCGGATCACTCACTGTCACTCTGTTTTTGTTTTTCTTTTTTTTTTCTGTTTTTTTGTTTTGTTTTGTTTTGTTTTTTTTTTCCCTGTCTTCATTTTTGCATGCCACTGTTCTTCTGTATTGCAGCCACAGTAGAAGCGGTAGAGGCACGGGAAGGTATGGCTAGAACCCGGCGAGAGACTCAAATCATCTCCGTGTGTGCGTGCGCTCATTTTAAAGAGCTTTACCAGCCCTTAACGGAAGCTTTTTACTCTTGCATCACCAGAAGTGGGGGAGGACAAGGCCCTGCTGGGAAGGAAAAAATATACCCAGGGGTTTGGTTCAAGGATGTTTCAGCTTGAACAGTTTATTCCTTAGTGGAACCACCTTTATTTGGAGTTGCCGGAGCGGTTCCTGCTCCGGTGGCTCAAGACCTTGGGGTTGAGGTCCTGCCATCTGCCAGCACCATCAAAACTCTTAGAAAACAGGATTTTGTGGTGCTGGTGTAATCCCTGCCCTCCCCACAGGTAGGCCAAGGTGGAGAGGCAATTCTCTGCCTGTGGAGTGTAGGAATGACAGATCCGTGAGGATTTTTCCTCGATACCAAGCGGGGCCACACAGCTCTACAGAGGCTTTGCTTACCAAGGGAAGTTGTTTGTAATCCAGCCAAGTCCTTGTAAAAGATTTGGCACAGCCTCCTTTTCCTTAAATTCTCCGTAGCACAAAGGAGTTTGACATTTGGTCCGTGTCATCAGGGCGAGGGTGACGTGCTCGTCCCTGCGGTGATGGAACAGGGACACGAAATTCCTCAGTGGGATTCATCCCTCCCAAATCTGCCCGTGTGTCTCCTGGTCATGCAAGAATTTTGCCTTTGTGATCCAAGGACTAGCTGTTCCCTCTCCTGGTGTTGCAGTGTGTGGTTTGTGTCGGAGTTTAGAGCCTTGTGGTGGTGTCTTTGTTCTGTCGTTCTGGGTTTTGCTTTTTTTTTTCTTTTTAATTTTTATTTTCTTCTTAATCGTTATTTTTTAGTGTTGTGTTTTTCAGCTTTGAAATTATCCTGAAATTTCACTCTCTGGGGACAGCAAGCACTTGTCTGGTTTATCAAGTTCCTTCTGTTCTGTTAAAGAAGGGAAGGTTTGGGATATTGGGAGGAAATTCTTCCTTGTGAGGGTGGTGGGATGGAATTCCCAGAAAAGCCGATCCCTGGAAGTGTCTGAGTTTGGGGGTTTGTACCTGGGATAGTGAAACCCTGCCCATGACAGGGGGTGGAACTGGATGATTTTAATCTCCCAACCCAAACCATTCCATGGTTCCATGAAAAGCTCTTAGGGAGCAGAGCAAATCCTAAACCTCTCCTAAAAGAAACCCAAACCTTCTAATCCTCCTCTCAGGGAGCAGAGCAAATCCTAAACCTCTCCTAAAAGAAACCCAAACCTCCTAATCCTCCTCTCAGGGAGCAGAGCAAACCCTAAACCTCTCTTAAAAAATCCCAAACCTCCTGATCCTCCTCTCAGGGAGCAGAGCAAACCCTAAACCTCGCTTAAAAAAACCCAAACCTCCTAATCCTCCTCTCAGGGAGCAGAGCAAACCCTAAACCTCTCTTAAAAAAACCCAAACCTCCTGATTCTCCTCTCAGGGAGCAGAGCAAACCCTAAACCTCTCTTAAAAAAACCCAAACCTCCTGATCCTCCTCTCAGGGAGCAGAGCAAACCCTAAACCTCTCTTAAAAAAACCCAAACCTCCTGATCCTCCTCTCAGGGAGCAGAGCAAACCCTAAACTTCGCTGCCAGCTGCTCCCAAACCCAGACTTTGGCAAGAATTCCCCAAATCCAGACAGGTGCTTTCCGTCCCCTCCACTTGTCCCCGTTGGTGTCTGGCGTGTGCTGGAGGGCTCCTCCGGGGGAGATCCACGGCTCCTCCTGACAGTTGCTCCCGCTGTTCCCTTCCCTCCGCAGCCATCCGTGGGTTCTCCCCGCAGCACAAGATCCGCAGCTTCGAGGAGGCGCGGGGGCTGGACCGCATCAACGAGCGGATGCCCCCGCGCAAGGATTCGCTGCACTCGGACGGCCCCGTGAACTTGGTAACCTCGAACTCTGCGGACAAGAACGGCACGGGGAAGAAATCCCAGTAACGCTCCGAGCGCCCAAACCTGCACCGCCAGAGGATCCAAAACTTAATGAATTTTATTTATTTATTATCGGGGTGGGGTGGGGGCAGGGGGAGAAACCAACTTCACCTGGAGGCACGTCCATAAATCCAGTCCGCATCCGTTCTGTAAGAAAGCGACCATTTTGTATTTTTTTTTTTATTTATGTTCGATATATATATAAAAATGTCCATCTTTTTTTTTTTTTTTTTTTTTTTTAAATTTTATTTTATTTAGATACCAATCCAACGGCTAGTACATCCCGGGAATGTTGTGCTGTCCAGTTGCCCTCCCCGAGAGGCCAAACCTCTGCCAGGGGAGGGGTTGATTAAAAAAACAAAAATCAGTCAAACCAGGCAACTTGGGTCATTGGCTGTGGCACAATTTGGAATTAGCCTGAGCTTTCCAAAGCAGGTCCTTCCCTTCAGGATACGGTTGGGTTGGTTTTCCTTTTCACACCTGTTTTCTTCCCATGTTTTTCCTGTTGTTTTCTTCCACCTCTTGCCTACCTGCAGCTGCTGCTTTAGCAACCAATTCCCTGGAAGGCAGATTGCTGGGATCCATCCCTCTTTTCCAAGGTGACAGCCAGGGGTAGCTCCAAAGGACTCTGAGGCTTGTTGTTAACACCAATCACAGCACCTTTTCCTTCAGGAATTCAGCTTTATCCCAGGGGAATCCCAAAGGAAAGCAGGCATAAGGTGGGGGAAGTGTTGCCCCTTGTTGTGGCTCTTCCTCTTGGACCAGCCAGTTTGTGCAGCGGAATTCCCTTGGGAATCCCTCTGATTCAGAGCAGAGGAATTATCTCTGCTGTTTGATGATCCTCGGGAAAGCTGCAACGCCTGAATTTTAAAGGAAAAGGGGATGATTTCTACCCTGGAGCCTGCAGCTCCCCCATTACCCCACCACCACAGCACATTCCCTGTTCCCAGCTCTGGAATCGGCCCTTGCTGAGCAGTTTGGGGTGTGGGGGACAGGGTGGTCCCCCAGTGTCACCTCCCTGTCCCCCAGCGGGGTGTGACTTGAGGCATCACCTACCCTTGGCCATTCCAGAGGAGCCATGGGCAGCTCAGCCTTGCCCAGCAGCTGGAGCAGGGGGTTGCTAAGGGATAAAGTTTGGGATGAGCTGGGTGGGGCACTGCTGGTTTTTGGGAGATGTGGCTCAGTGCTGGTGACAGCACAGCCCCCCCAGACTGGGAGGCAGGGAGAGGTTGGAAGGCAGAACCGAGTGGATCTGGCAGGAATTTCAGCAGGGTGATCTGGACAGGGATCCTGGGGGTTCCCAGGGGACACCCCCTGGGTGTTACCAGGGATTTTGGAGTGGGAGCTGAGTGTTCTGTCACTCGCAGCATTCTTTCACTTAAACTGGGAGTGCTGGGGAAGGGTTTGGTGAGATTCCCGTGTGAGCCATGTCCTGGAGGCAGCAGCTCCTGCAGCCCCCCCTCCAGCTTTCCCTTTCCCCCCTTCTCCTGCTCTCCGCCGGCAGGGCTGAGCCTCTCCCAGGGGATCTTTGCCAAGGCTTTCCCTGGATCCTGCCGTCCTCCCTGGCGATTCCAGCACCAGAGGGAAACAACAACTTCCCAGGAAGCTTTCAAATTGTCTTGGGATCACACGTCACCTAATCCCACGGGGCTGTTTAGGATTCTGTGAGCAGACCGCTGGGTTTCCACACTTTTCAGTCACATGCCTCCACTTTCCCCTCTTTATTCTTTTATTTTTTCTTTTCTTGGTGTTTTTTTTTCCCTTTGATCCCGTTTTTTTACACGCCCACCGCTTTGCGAAAAGTGCGAGATGTTTGGAGCGAGCTTCTCTCCCCCCAGTCCGAGGAGTGGGGCCAAATTGCCTTTTGTCTGTGAGTATTTCTTTGTCCTTTCAGGGCCTCCTGTGAGCGCGGTGAGCCCGTGTGTGGTACCCGAGCGCACAGACCGTGCCCGGGGCTGCCCGTGCATGTTCGGGCGTGTTGTGCTGACCCAGGCTGGGATCTCACCCAAGCAGCCAGGTTTTAGTCGGGATATTTGGGATGGGAATCGCGGGACCCCGAGCCTGGCACCCCCTGGTCCCAGCGTGGGGGGTCAGCAGGGCCCAGCCCATCGCAGAGGGGGATTTGCTTTGCTGGCAGTTTGTCCCCCCACCCTCTTCTCCTGCTCTGACATCACCAATTCCCCCTCCCTGAAATCCTTTTGGACCTTGTGCTTCGTGGTTTGGGGGCTCAGATTCAACCCCCTGATCCTTGGGGCTGGTGGAACTGCAGCTTCCCAGCCCCTGGAAAAGGGCTGGATATTGTTTGCCCCTGCCCTGGAGAAGGTGACCAAGGGTGGGAATTTGATCCTCCCTTGTCCCTGGGGCTGCTGGAGCTGCACCATCCCAGCGTCCCAGCCCTGGAGAACGTGGCCATGGGCTGGAATTTAGTTGCCCCAGCCCCAGAGATGGTGGCCAAGGGCTGGAAGTTGCCCCCATGTCCCTGTGGCACCAGCATGTGTGGATGTCACTGTGCCAGGTCCCCTCTTCCCTTTAAAGCAGTTCCCGAGGGGGTGAGGAGCAGCAATGGGGCTCTGGGTGCTAATTACCCCCTCAATTAACGCCCCCTCTCCATGCTGGGCTTCCCCTGCCACAGCCCCGACCCGAGCTCCCCTCTTTTGGGGACAACCTCGGAGCAGAATTCCCTGCCCCGATCCCCTCCATGGCAAACCAAAAAAACAATCCAGAAATGCCCCCAAATTCCCCTTTTTCCTCCTTTTCCCCCCCAAATCCAGCGCCTCGGAGCTGGGCTTGTCTCTGACCCCTCATCTCCGAGCTCCCGCCCGTCCCTTCCCCTCCCCAGCTGCCACCTGGAGCTTGGACAACCGGGATTGTGGGGAGCCCACGGGCCCCGGGGGAGCCCCCCCGGCCCGAGGGAGCCCCCAAATCCAGGGAAAGCCCCCACCTCCCCGCAGCCTGGGTTTTTTTTGCATGTTCTAGCAAGGTGCATGTCCAAGGAGGGGAGTCGGCAATGGGGCGGGTGGTGGGTTGAGTTCAAGCTTAATTTTCTCTTTGGGATTGGGAGAACCCCTCTGGCTGCCTCTGGCACAGATCCCACCTGGCCAGGGGAGCTGGCAGGGATGCAGATCCCACCAAACCTCAGCCAGGGAGGACCTGAAGCCCTCCAGGGGTGCAGTGATGGTGATTTTAGGGTTCTCGATGCTGAAGGATCATACGCCCGTTGCCTGGAGACTGCCTCCTTTTTTAATTTTGATTTTTATTTCTTGCTTCTTCTTCTTTTTTTTTTTTTTTTTTTTTTTTTTTTTTTTTTTTTTTTTTTTTTTTTTTTTTAGTTCTGTTGAAAGGAGAAAAAAAATGGTGAAAATGTTATTTATTGGCAGAAATTATTTAATATAATTTCTTTTTTTTTTTTTGTGAAACAAGGAATGAATTTGTTAGAACTGTCTCGATGTAAATCGGAGTCATCTTTAAGGAGGAAAAAAAAAGAAAAAAAAAAGTTAAAAATTGACAGTCACTGGGCTCAGCTGTGGTTTTTTTGGGGGGGGGTGAGGGAGGTTCCTGTGCTGACAGAAGGGAGGATTTGGGGGGTTTAGAGCCTCTCCAGGGCTGGGGCAGTGCCCAGATGGCATCTCCCAACCCTTGGCACGTCGGCACACGCGGAGCGACGGCTCCGGGCTGGGTTTGGAGAGCCCTCGGCTCCTGCTCCTCGTCCTTCCCTGGGTAAATAACGCGGTGCCAGCAGGGAGAGCACGGGATGTGCCAGCTCTTGTTCCACCCCGGCTCCTTCCTTGTCGCCTTTGGGGTTGTTCCCTCCACAGAGAGAATTCAGGGAGCAGCTCTGGGGTCGGGATCCATCCGGATGGATCCAAACGGTCCCGGCTCCAGCGCTGGGCTGGACCCTGCCCAGGGATCCCCGTCCTGCATCACCAGCTCCCTCCACTCCCGGGAGCAGCTGTGCCTTCCACCCCTGGCTCCCATCCCCTTTTCCCCAGTGACAGCCGAATATTCCGGATGAGCTCTGAAGGACTCCAGGGCTTTATCCCAATCGCAGCAGCTTTTCCTTTGGGAATTCAGCATCCCGCCTCGAGCTCGGCTCGCCACGTGCTCCCTGTTTCCCACCTGCTCCTGCCGACAGCATTCCCACTCCAGCCGAGCCTCCGGATGCATCCAGGGCGCGCCCGGGCCAGGACGCTCCGGCTCTCCCACCCTTTTCCTGGGTGTTCCCATCAAAACTGAGGAGCCTCCAGCCCCCAGCAGCGCTCCCGGACCCCGCGCTCGGCACCGGGGGGCTCCCGGAGCATCCCTGCCCATGGGAGCATCCCCGGGAGCATCCCCGGGGCCGGCCGCACGTTCCCGGCTGGCATCGCCGCGCTGAGCAAACAGGAAACACTCGCCCTTTGTTAATCCCGGCCCGGGCTGCGCGTTAAATATTTATCTGTGAGCGGAGGCTGGTGCTGGGAGCCGCGGGGAGGGAGGGACCGAGGCAGGGCCGGCGCTGGAGGCTCCTGGCCGGGCACGGGGACGGTGCGTGGGGACCAGGAGGTGAGCGGGGGTTTGGGCAGGGGGTGTTGGCACCCCGAGAGGGGCTGTGAGGAAGGGGGCTGCTCCTCGCGTCGCCAGCGGGTGCTGTGACCGCGCGAGGTGTCGCTTGGTGGGCTGGAGTGGATCTGGAGGGGCCCTGGAGGGGGATGGTCACCCCTCGGCAGCAGGGATGGGGTCGGGGGTCCCCTCGCTGGGTTTTACCCTCCCCGGCCCTGCTGTCATCCCTGCCATTGTCACCGGGATTTCCCGGCAGGATCAGTCCCTGTCCCCAGCCTGTGTCCTCGCCACGGTGTCCCCAGCTGGCACCGAGGAGCTGCTTCATCCCCACGGCACTGGGGAACGGGGAATCGCGTTCCCCAGGGCCGTGGCAGGGGGAGGACACCCGAGCCTGTCCCCTGTGTCCCCGGTGTCCCCCGGGCGCAGCATCGCAGCCAGACTGGGCTCTTGTCACCGTCCCCTTGTCGCCAGCAGCAGCAGGGGGCGGTGGCTTGGTGGGGACCGAGGGGTGGCAGCGAAGCCACCCCATCCTCCCGAGGCTCACGTGGGAGCTCACGGGATGAGGAAGGGCTGGAGCAGCCCCGTTTTGGGGGTGTCAGCAGTTTAGGGGAGCAGGAAGTGGCCGGCGGGTGAGTGCTGGGTGCGGGCGCTGCCCGAGGGGGCGAGGGGGGACACGGGGCACCCCCAGAGCAGAGAGTTCCATGCCCGGATTCCCTAGGGATGGGCGGGTGAAGGGGATGGAGCGCTGCAGTGGGGTTGGGGCTCTGCTCTGCCCCACACCGGGGCTTGGATGGGCACAGGAGCACAGACCCCATTCCCACTTCGGTCCTCACCTCTCAG